CTCTCTCTCTCTCTCTCTCTCTCTCTCGCTCTCGCTCTCTGTGTGTGTGTGTGTGTGTGTGTGTGTGTGTAGCATGTGTGTGTGTCTGTGTGGGCTCAACACTTGTTTCTCCTTCCTCCAACCTCTCCAAATTTCCATAACCACTTCCTATCGGCCCCTCCCTCTCCGACTAGCTCTGTTGATAGCTGCTAGTCGACAATCCCGTTCCTCAGAAACAGTGAGCGAGGAACCTCCGAGGCCGGCTCGGAAGAGAGGACACCGAAGAAGGGAGCCAACAAGCGCACAGCGGGCGCAGTGTGGCTTTACGTACCGCCACAGTTATCCGCAGCATTAATAAACGGTCTAGTTTCGACATCAGTCCGGTCCTCCCTCTGGAGATGGGGCTCAACCGCCAGCGCCTTCTTTTTCACCTTGCCCGACTGAGCCGAGCGGCTGGGAAGGGAGCTCCATAACCATACTCACTTTGGGGGCTGTTTTGACTGAATGCGCCCATCGAGTCCACGGTAAGTCAGATAGGATGGCTCTGCGCAGGAGGGCCATGTGAAGGGGTCCGGGGAAAGGAGGGGAAAGAAGCAGGGGGAAATGGAAGTCGCTTGATCGAAATGCGGGGCGCGAAATGCAGCGGGAGGTCCGAAGCGGGAGGTACTAGCAGCAGCAGGCACTCACAGGCTCATCGAGTTCCGCGGGAAACTTCTGCGCCTTCAGCAACTTGCGCGTCTTGTTGGAGAACCGCGTGTCTTGGTCGGCGGTCGTTCCCTGGCAACAATGGAAAGCAACGACATCAGGAAACGTCAGAAATGGCGCGAGCCTGGCGGGAGTGCCTTCCGCTCGTCCGGAAGGAGGGTGGTTCATCTACATGTAAGGAACGCCGGACCCGGTTCAAGGATTCGAGGTTTTAGAGAGAGAAAAAAAAGCCCAGCGAATGCCCAAGGTAAATGGATGAGAGGATTACTCAGCAGAGAAGATGATTCCTGAGAACTGAGTCAACTGGATAACCAAAGACACAGGGACTCCCCGCACCACTCACCAAATGCACTAAAGTCGAAAACTACGCCGGCGTAGCTTTCCATGTTGAAGCGGAAGATTCACTCTCACATTGCACATATCGGGGATCCAACATGACCCTCGCAAATCATCTCCACCATTCACCGAAGACCCGCCACACCCAGCAAAAAGGACACCAGAATAATGCGCAGTGATGCACAGCGATGTGCAGTGAGTCGCTGATCGCTTACGTACACGGTCCCGATAGTGATGCCTGACGCCTGGATACTACTGCCTGCATACTCATGCCGGGATACTTACGCCGGGGTACTCACTCGTGCCGGGATACTCACTCGTGCCGGGATACTCACTCGTGCCGGGATACTCACTCGTGCCGGGATACTCACACGTGCCGGGATACTCACTCGTGCCGGGATACACACTCGCGCCGGGATACTCACTCGCGCCGGGAGCGCCCGGATACTCACACGTGCCGGGATACCTACTCATGCCACACCGACCTCAAGCGGCCTGTCTGGTGAGGAACTTCCAAGAAAAAATGCGGCAAGAGCAACAGGATAATAGCAACGATAAAAAGTGGGAAAAGAGGTAAGACGATAAGCAGGACCAAAAAGAAAAAAAAAACAATGTTATCGGCAGGCATCATAGGAAAGAAATAAGGTGGTAATAGGGAGGAAGACTAGAAGATCAAAATCAAGACCAGGAACATCTGACCGTGAAAAGACTTGGGAAAAAGAAGACGAGACAAGATACAAGACCAGAGCAATGAAAAACAAAGCCAAAGTTGGGAAGATGGGAAGATAGACAAGACAGACCCCAAGAACGTGTTTTTTAGACAACAGGAGGGAGGGGGTGAGGGCCTTGCCAAACGACTATCGAAACGAAAACAGCACAAGTCCATCTTCCGGAGAAAGTGGGAACATGCATCCAGTATTATGAATTGTACGGATGCACCTTGCCACTCTTCGAGGGAACATGCAATCGTATTTTTTCTGTTTCGACAGTGGTGTGGCGCAGCCCTAAAATTAGACTGAAGATGAAGGCAACGTAAAGAATAGAAAACAGAACATAAACGCTGCAAACCACAAGGATGGAGAACACAAAACATTGGGGGGAAAAACGAGAATTCAAATTGAAATTAAACGTGATGAATATCTCGAGAAGATACACAGACAGAAAGGGAAGAAGAAGATTCATGGAGGGAAGACAAACTCTCACAGATGATAACTTCGAGAACATGCAGAACAGCAGAGGGTCCAAACGAGCACTGGACGGCAAGCATGTGCAAAAGCCAACACGTTTTTTCTATACATACGATGAAGCGATGAGATGTGAAAACATTGAACTTTTCAAGCCCGTACGACGGAATGTGAAAACACTGGGTGACAGAAGGAATTCGCCGCGAGGAACGTGGGAGCAAGCGAGAAGATATGAGGATTTGAAAGGGACCGAGAGAGCGGCGCGAAAGGAATGTCAGGGACCGAGGAGAGAGGCACCAGCGTAAGTTCAGGAAGCGAGGAGGGGCACGAGAGTAGGTTCAGGAAGCGAGGAGAGGGGCACGAGAGTAAGTTCAGGAAGCGAGGAGAGAGGGGCACGAAGGACAAATTGAAATAAGCGGGGCGCGAGGCCAAAGGGCAAGGAAGATACCAAAACGGAAAAGGAAAAAGGAGGTGAGGACAGCTCTGAAAAAGAGAGAGAGAGAGAGTGCAAGGGAAGAACAAAGTCGGGGAAAAGAAAACAGACTTAGGGCGTCCTAAGACTAAGACTCTCTCTCTCTCTCTCTCTCTCTCTCTCTCTCTCTCTCTCTCTCTCTCTCTCTCTCTCTC